GCCACGAACACTTGACTGATCACCTTAACCTACCATTGCACGGCGCCTGCTCCACTACTCCTCCTGCCTGAAGACAGGTATACCTACCTCCAAAGCCATTTCTGGAAGTCACAATAGTTTTGGGAATTGCCAGACCAGCTGCCAGAGACTGCATCTGTTTTGGTGCGGCTCCAAGGAGACACTTTCCTGAGCTCAAATAAGACATCTTGCTTGACCAAGTCCTCCTGGCCACTGCTGAAGCTAATTAGACCATCAAATTTGCTGCTTCTGCTCAGAGAAGTAGTTGGGTTAGTAAGACACCTCTTGCTGTAGTAGGAGGGCCTAGACACCCTCATAGCACAGGGCCCAAGTCTGAGTCATTCCTCTGTATTTGAGCGCTCCTACATGTAGCATGATCTCCTGGTGTTGAGGTGATGGCAGTATTTAATCATTCCCTTCTCTATCAGGTGGTGTTTCTGCTAGCTGCAGTCTGCTATGAAAGCTAAAGCTCTTTATAGTGCAGGAAGTGTTTCAGGGACTTTCCCCTCAAGCTGTGGCAGGCAAGTTCTTAGTGCCTCAATAAGTGCCCTTCCCATCCATAAGAGCAGCAGAAGTAAAACTTCCAAGAAGCACCTCTTTAAGCTGAAATATGGCATCACAACCACAAGCTGCTCGTTAATGAGAACAACTGGAAGATTCAATATGTGTCTGTTCAACAGATCCCTAGGGAAGGAACCATAGCATGCCAGATTGGGTAAATCCTTGTGTCATACCTGAATAATAACAAATCCCTTCAAAACACTTTCTAAAAGTTAGAATAAACTTATGTGCAAGTTAGTTAGATACAGCTCTTCCTATTCATTTGTTTCATGAGCTGTGTGGGACAATTCCTGGAAAAGGCTGGGATTTTTGTTACCACAGAAATATTTCCTGAATTTCTTTGATTGCAGCTAGCTTTTCAGTCACATGCTCTCAGACTGGATCTTGGACTCTTTCCCAAACTCTCTCTTTTATTCCCTGTGTGCCTTCATGTAGATCCCATGCAGACTGATGGACTAATGAGATAAACTGGAGCTCCAGATGGGTTATGCAACATTGGTGCTGTAGAGATACCAGAACTGAAGTGGAGCAGTGGAGTTCTCTAACTAAAGAAAACAGCATTAGTGATGGGATTAGAATCTATTTATAAGATGTGATTCAGGCACCTAAATTTATGTGTGTAAAGTGTCTATGATGAAGCAGCTGTCTATGGCACCATTACCATAAAGGAGGTTGAAGGGTTGGTTCCTAAATCATAGGTGTCTTGTGCGATTTGAGACTCCCAAGGGCAGCTGTTACACAGAGCTCACAGGGAATCTGTGTCCTGCTGAAGGGCAGAGATCCTGCTAGAGACCAGGTGGGATGTCTTTGGGCTAGGGGCTCTTTTTTACTTGCTCATTGGAGATGCCCTAGGAAATGATGGCACTTTTGGCTACACACTTTGACTGATACTGAGCTTATCATCAACCAAAACCCTCAGATCCCTCTCTTCAGGGTGCAGCCCAGCCTCTTGTTCCCCAGACTACACATACATCCAGGATTGCACCATCCCAGATGCAGAATACCTTCCCAGGAGCAGACTTGCAATCACAGAATCACAGAATCATTTAGCTTGGAAAAGACCTTTAATATCATAGAGTCCAACCATAAGCCTAGCACTGCCAAGTCCACCACTACACCATGTCCTTAAGTGCCACGTCTACTTATCTTTTAAATACCTTCAGGGACAGTGATGCAACCATGTGCCTGGGCAGCTGGTTTCAATGCTTGAAGAAATTTTTTGTAATATCCAGTCTAAACCTCCCCTGGCACAGCTTGAGGCCATTACCTATTGTCCTATAACTTCTTATTTGGGAAAAAAACTCCCAGTTAGCCAGGACTGCTGAAAAATTACTAAAGTGGCTCACTGAGCCCTTCTGCCAGCTCCTTCAGTACCCTTGGGTGTATCCCATCCAGCTCCATAAGTTACAGCTACTTTAGTTAGAAGTAGGAACTAAAACATGTCACTATTGACAGAATTACAAACCTATGTCCTTGGTGCTGAGCAAATCTACCTTCAGAGTAAATGCCTATGAGCAAATTCCCATTTACTATTTCAAGTTCTCTGCAACACCCAGGATCACAGTGCCCTAGGGAAAAGAGCCCTTAACTTTTTTCTCCCACTCCTACGTCTTTAATACCTTCCACATCTCTTCAAGAGCCCATTAAGCATCTCCAGCTGCTGAACTTCCAAGTTTTCCCTGTCTTACTGCTTCAACCAAATCTGCTTAAAAATGGACAAAAGATGGTGAATATGAAGATGTCCCTGCTCATTGAAGGGGGGTTGGACTATGTGATCTTTGAGGGTCCCCTCCAAGCCAAACTCTTCTTTGATTCTGTGAATATCTGGTTCACACAGGTTTCAGAGTGTTGTTCTCTGGTATGCAGAGAGAGTAACCTCAGATGGAGTCCTCTAAATGTCCACTAATTTGGCACCTGCTCAGTGTGCCCATGGTATCATCTGATGTTTTATTTTTGTATGATTTCTAATGTATCTCATTATTACCTTGGCACCTGGGGACTGTGGTTTGGAGGAAGGGTTCTGTTCCAGCCAGGCTGAATTATATTGCAGTTCCAAGGCATGCTTGGCAACTGCTAATAGTGGCTGGCTATTTTTAGATGGGTTTTTCTGCTCTCTCAGTTCAGATCTGTCCTATTTAAACTCTATTTTCAAAAAATTTTAGATCAGCAATAGTTTTCACTCAAGTTTTTGGGGTATGTAATAAGAATTTTCAATTAGATTGCTTTCACTTTGATTTCTCTAAAACAGTAGTATAATTATTTTGGGCCTCAATCTGTATCTCTTTTCCATGGCATGACAGTATCTCTCAGAATAAGGACTAAATTTTCATAGAAACCCTTTATCTGCAGGGGAACTTTTTTATTTCTCCAGTAATACCTGGTTCTGACACCTGAATATGAGATAACAGTCTTTTCAAGGGTCCTGCTCCTCAGTCTTTGCTCTTTATTTGCATGCTTCCAGATTTGCCCTGCTCTGATTCAAAAAGCCAGAATCAGTGACGCCCTCAATGTCTGAAAATGGCTGGGGTCACTTGCTGAGCTAAGAGTAGCACAGGGAATAGTATTTGTCACCTTCAGTATCAATTGCAGTAAGCAGAAAAAAACCTACTTTCTCAGTATTATCTCACCTGAACCCACAGAGGTTATTGCCCTATGTGGAGCTAATTCGGTTTGAAACCTGTGGTTCAGAGAAATCAGAGGTGGGGGAAAGATGATTTGGAGGAAACATGTATAATAGATTTTCCAAGGGAGCTGCCAAAATTGTCACACATGAATGCACACAGGGGAAAAAATAGTGCAGTGGTGATGCTAGATCCTCTCTCAAGCCATTTTTAGCATCTTGCTAAGTGATGACATTCCCAAAGGAAGGGGATGTACTCTGGAGAATACATTAAGTGTACCAATGAAGTATGAAATATATTAATATGCCTGCAAGATTGCCTTGGCAAAGCCAAAACCAAAGGTTTTGTTTACTTTCCATTTCACAGGTATCTCTGGTGCAAGCACAGTTACTATTCTGCTTTTGATTACTGCTATGAGCTTATTGTTATACTGGGGCCATGGAGGCAGACACTTCACAGGGTGATACATAACAGAGGAGCCACCTGCAACCTGCCATGCTATCATATGTACCGGAGCGATGTCTTCACAAAATGTTTTCCCTAGGGCAATTCTAAATCTACTTGATTTTTGACTCTCAGAAATACTCACTTTTGGCTGCCAGATTTCTTTGGAGTGTTGCTGTGCAATGGAGCACGGCAGCTAATGAAAAATCTGACCTGCTTAATGGAGGGCTACAGGTTGCACATCAGAAAAGAGAAGAAGCTCTTCTTCTTGTAGCTATTAGAAGCTTCTTCAATGCTCTGCAAACTTATAAAGACTAATATTGCAACTGCTGTAGGTAAATTTATAGGCAGGGAATGAGAAAGCTAGAATGACAACTTTAATAAAAAATGTGGGACTTGGTTCTTATCTCTCTTGTTTTTGTATACATCAGGATTAACTTAAATTTTAAAAGAAAGATCTTGCTGCCTCAAAAGGTGCATGGCCAGCAGATTGAAGGAGGTGATTCTGCCCCTTTGCTCTGCTCTCATGACACCCCATGTGGAATACTGAATTTATCACAAGAAGGACATGGGCTTGTTGGAGCAAGTCCAGAGGAGGGCCACAAAAATGATAAGGGGGCTGGAGCATCTCTCCTGTGAAGACAGGCTGAAGAGAGTTGTGGCTGTTTAGCCTGGAGAAATCTCAGGGGAGAACTTAGAGGAGTCTTCTAGTACCTAAAGGGGGCTTACAAAATAGCCTGTAAGGATAGGACAAAGGGGAATGGCTTTAAGCTGAAGAGAGGGTAGTTTCAGATTAGGTATTAGAAAGAAGTTCTTTACTATGAGACACTGTCACAGGTTGCCCAGAGAAGCTATGGTTGCCCCATCCCTGGCAGGGCTCAAGGCCAGGCTGGACAGGGCTTGGAGCATCCTGGTCTAGGGGAAGGTGTCCCTGCCCATGGCAGGGCGTTGGAACTGCATGATCTTTAAGCTCCCTTCCAACCCAAACCATTCTCTGATTCTAAGGTATTTGTGACCATGGCTAATGATCTGGGTGTGCGTAAAAGATCTAATCAAAATAAACAAATATATTATCAGTTTGTATTTGCTTAAAATATTTATGAAGTGTACAACTGTGTTAGTTTGAGCACATTTGTCTTACAATAAAATCCAAAATTGCATATAAAAGAAAGGATTATCATTTCAACTGCGTTCCACATCCCTGGTAACTCAAGCAGCTCCCTCTTCTGCATGAGAGTGGCATATATAGGGCATAAAAGCATGAGCAGGGAGCATTTGGAGAGCTCAAATGCTGTCAAATCAGGATTTTTTGAAGAACAATATGGGAGGAAATCCCCAAATCAGTTTTGGCCTTACCTGCTAAACTTGCTTTGCAGCCATGTGTCATACTGGTTTTTGTAAGACATGCCTCTGGCAAGACAGGCACTGTATTTCGGCTGAGTTCTCAAATAAGTGGGAGCAAGTGAGCCAGCAGCATGCAGCCAGGTATGCAACTGGCCCTGCTTGCTTCCTGATTCAAATATTAGTCTGTACTGATGCAGAAACTTTGCAGATGATGCAGCTCCATATTTCTGGGCTTTGCAGGCTGATTTCCTACTTGATTCAGAAGAGTTCCTGAGAAATTTCAGCTGTCTAGCAGGGCTTGGAAATTCTGTCATGAAAGAGGATGAGTTTGTGTCCTGATGGTGCTTTGCTAGTGGAAGAAAAGATGGGAAGTTTATTTATGTGGCTGATGTACCACAGATGGTTGCAACCATTTCCCAGCTATATGCGTGACTTACTTTTTCTAAAATTAGCACTAATCATAACTCTGTCTAGCAAGAATTGCCTCAAGAGTACTGCAAGAACTGCTATATCATGGCCTAGAGAGAAAGAGCCCAAGTGCTGAAAACTGAACACAAAGAGCCACTGACAGCTTTAACAGCCAGCTTCAAAGGGATGAAAGCTCCTAAAAAGCATATCTGGGCCACTGGAAAAAAGCATGTAAGGTGTTTGCTACCATACCAAGGCTAATGCAAGAAAAATATTATCTTTTTACCTTTTTTAGTTATACATCATCTTCTTAAAGATCAGGGAATCAAAACCACACACACTATTCATGGATTTATACTGGAGCATAATACTGCTTCCTGTTTTACTAGCTCTTCCTTACTTAATAATTCCTGTCATTTGACTTGCCTTTTGCCTTCCACTGAGGTTTTCAAAGAGCTAAATGCAGAGACTGCAGGATGTCTTTCCCAGTGGTAATAGGTAATTGAAAACCAATCATTGTGTAAGTATAAGTAGGATTCTTTTTCTCCAAAATGTCAGTTTGCCTTAACTTAATCTAATTTGAACTCATTATGGGGCTTCTTCCTCAGCTCGTGGCTCCTTCTTCTTGTATGCACATCTGTCTTTCTCTCCTTCTCCAGACATGAATGTTCAAAATACAGGTTTCTTTCCAGCAAAACCAAGGCTTCAGCTGCTACAAATTCCATTGCCAGACTTCTGCCCCATGCTACTGACAGTAGTTTTGGGGACAGGAAGTGTGACCTGTGATGATCTGCCATTGTGAAAAGGATCTTGTTCCACTCCTGTTTGCACCAGCTGATCCTTGGTCATTTTCACGTACTGAAGGGCTCCATAGTGCAGTATGCTACTCACAGTAATGGGGCTAGGGTAAAACTGCTGCATTACAGGCATCACTGTCAGAGGGCAGCAGTGGCTTTTTCCACATAGAGGGGGAAGCTGTTGACCAAGACAGCAAGGCAGACAGGAGTAGGGACCTCACCAAGAAGAGCGCAGTCCCACACTACTCAAACACAAAGAGCAGAGCAAGTTCAGTGACATCAACCCAAGTCAGCTGAGAGTTCAAACTGGCAGAGAGGTCTGTAGTGACAAGGCAGATTTGAGGTCAAGCTGGGAAGCCCAGTGGGCAAGGCAGGGTCAGAATCAGCAAGGTACAAGACCAGGCACAGGCATACCCACAACACAGCTCAGGCAATAACCAAAGGTGAATGCCTGAACTTCAGTGCAGCTCCTAGCCAAGGAAGGGAAGGCCCTTGAAAAGGCTTCTCACAGCATTCCCACATAGCTCTTCTCATAGCAGCCTGGGCCCTGAATACACAACTGTACAGTATCAGGGCTGTCTTTCAACACACAGGACACTAAATCCTTGGGTGGTAAGGGAAGAGGCTCCAGACCCCCTTAGTGCAGTCAGGACCCTGACATTTATATCTTCATCCTTTTCTTACAAAAGAAGCTCAAGATTACCTGTGCCTCAGAAGTGGTATTTGAATATCAGATTCTAATGGAAGATGGAAATGCTTAGGTGGGTCATCAAGTGTACCACTAACTTCCTGGGAGAGCATAGCCCTTGAACCACCTCAGTCTCTTCTGAGGAGCTGCTGCAGATTTCTAGCCATCATTTCTTGGTGTACATAATTTCTTGGTCCAGACAACTATAACAGATTTATCATTCCCTCCTGAAAGCTTAGTGTAAGAGGTATTCTTGGTCTCTGGCCAATATCTCAGCTGTTATCAGAGGTAATTAAAAAAATCTGTGCTCCTCTTTAAATGATCATAAACTGGTAATTTTAGGAGATAATCTAAGGTAGAAATCCATTGTAACAGCCATAGCAATAAAATTTTGTATTCTTTCATTTGGCTGTAACTTAAATAATACACAAACTACAAGAAACAAAGAATTTTCGTGCTTTGTTATCAAGGTTCCATTCAATTAGTATGATTTTCTAAACAGAGGACTCTGAGCTTGCACACAGAAAAAGGTGCAGGGTATTATTCTTAGGAGTAAACCACTGATCAAACCAAGCTTTTCACTGGGAATAAAGTTAAATCTGTGTTTTATGGCCATGAGACCAGGCCCTTGGATTACATATTCTGTGTTAATTTGCTACATTCTCCCTATTTCAGACACAGTTCCTTTTTAATGTGGTAAACAAGACTTTGGAAGCCAATGTGAAAAGGCATTTGAAAGGAAGCTGTCCCTCAGCTCAGAGGGGGTTTTCCTTGGAAGTCTAAATCTTTTTTTGTGGCAATAGTTTAATTCTTAATGGCTTAAGTCTCAGGGCAAGTTCAGACAGGGCTGAGCTCAGAATGCATAGAGGTAATCTAACTACTTGTTACTACTACTAACATGAAAGTGAATTTGGTTAGAGCGCAACACCCCTAAAATGGCAAAATTATGCATGGTGTTGGGATAGGTTGTGCTGACTGAAAATCAACACTGACATTCCTGGTGGAAAATAATTATTACTTAACGTAGTTGATATATTGGCTTTTGTCTCACAGTGGGAAGGATTTGCTGCTTGTAAAATGGTATGGAAGGAACACAGATGCAGGGTGTTGTATTTTTTTTCAGTCAAGCTTGTGCCATTCTGTTTACATTCCAAAATGAGGTCACAGCACATTTTCTGCATCCAAATGTGAGCTTCTTTTTTGCTGCTGCACTTATCAGAAATGCAAGCAATTGTAAATTTCCACACCAAGCTGAATCAAAAAAGACAATGCTGATTTTCCATAGCACCTCTCAGGCAAGTAGTTGCATCCACTGACTTCAAGAGACGAAAAGCTGCAGCACAGAGTGCTTCAGCTATTGACTCTTGTAATAACAGCAATAAGCCAAGGTTGAGGCTTTTTAACAGCTTCATCTAGAAAGGATAAAAATGCCAAGGAAAAAAGAGCTATTTGGAAATTACTTAAAAACACACTGGGAAGAAGGATTTAAACAGTATAGAAGAAAAAGATACACATTTTTATCACACGGGATTTATAAACCAACAATATGTTCATTTGAAGCATTCTCACTATGGTGAAACTCCATTGCCTGAGATCCTTCAGGTGAAATTAGTGCAACTGGGGGTACACCATAGGGAGCAACTCAGGCCAACAGAGGAAAGGTCACCACAGCTTTCCCATCTAGCCTATTCATCCCTAAACATAGATTCTGAAAACTGTTTTCATTTTTAGATGTTCCCTCCAATGAAACTGGGTTTTAACATAGAAAACTTATGCTCAATGGTTGCATTTATCTTTTTTTTTCTTTTTTGCTTTTGTTGGCTTAGATTACAGCTATAAACTTTCAGTGAAATAAGGGCACAAAAAGACACAAAGGGTCACACCTTTATAGAATCATAGAATCTTTGAATCATAGAATGATAGAATCATAGAATGATTTGGGTTGGAAGGCACCTGAATGGTCATTTAGTTCCAAATCCCCAGCCATGGGCAGGGACACATTCCACTAGGATCAGGTTGCTCCAAGCCCCATCCAACCTAGCCTTGAACACTGCCAGGGATGGGGCAGCCATAGCTTCTCTGGGCAACCAGCACACAGGTGGCTTTCTAAGCTGCAAGTACACACTGCCAGCTCATGTGAGTGAGGCATCAGAGTATGGCTAACATGCCTATCATATCATGCCTGTTGAAGGAGTAGGCGTAGACTAGCTTAAAAAAAACTGATTGTGGCCTGCTATCGGCACAGAAAACTAAAGAGTGAATACCATCTATCACCCTTGTCTCCACAACTTAATCGTTAACTCCCAACAGCTTTTAGCATTCCTGTGCCTCTTCTTTCCTCACAGTGAGGCAAGTTTGATGCTAACATACATTTGTGCTTTTTCAATGAAGCAAATGTGGTCACACAGATTAAATTTGAGAGCAGGATTACTGAGAGCATTATGCTCAGTTCATCTTTTCGCCTTTATATTACCATAAACAGGGTTGTTTCTTGATAATAGCAGGTTCAAGTCAAGTCAAGGATGTTAGGTATTTTACTTAAGTTTCAAGGGGCTCAGAAAGAATGCCAACTATCTCTGAGCCCAGGATTCCTGCTCAGATAACTTCCATACTGATTTCTGAATACAGCAGCAGAGGAAGCAAAAGGAGACAGAGAGGATCGGGGGCAGCACTGAGTTCTGTGGCAGTCCTGTATGGTTTGAGCACCACAGGTCAAAGAGAATTATTTTCAAATGCATTAGGAAAATCAGCTGTAAGAGCCATGGAAGCAAATGATCCATTCAGCCCCTTGGTCCCATTTGTTCTAGTGGAAGGTGTCCCTGCCCATGGCAGGGGTGTTGGAACTAGATGATCTTTAAGGTCCCTTCCAACCCAAAGCATTCTATGATTCTATTATTCCAAGGTGAGCCAGAACACTTCTTTTTCATTTTGCACACTTACATCCTAACTTTTCCTCTCATATATATGCATTTTATACCTGTGTCATTTAGTAGAGTCTTTTGCTGTCATAGCAGAAGAAACAGATCACTAATCAGACATCTCCTGTCTGAGACTATCATTATTGACCAAAGGATTAGCTGGGCGTCTACCCTGTGGGCTAATAACTCAAGTGGAAGGAACTATTACAGCTCCTAGCCTTATTTTAGGATAGCACTTTAGCTCTTGCCCTGAAGATTAGTCTTCATTGTCCAGGTAGAAGGAATAATCAGTTCTTATGTTCCCTGCACACTGGGAGCCTGAATTGTAATTGTAAAAGTCCAAGGGTAAAGATGTCATCTGAGCCACCTTTATTCAAGGTGAAAGCCTAAGGAATTCTGCTATAAATCTTCAGGGTGAATTAAGCTAATATGTAACAGGACAGCATGCTTGCTCAACCACTTCCACTAATTTCTGAGCACGAACAACTACATCAGATAAATGTTCCACATTTAAACCCCCTTGAGGAGAAAAGCAGTGAAGGGGCTGGGGTGGGATTAGGATCCCATTTTTACCCCCAGACAAGAAAAACACCTGCCGTCTTCCTCCTCTGCCAGGTCTCTCATTCCCAAACCTGTCGTGATGGTTATTCAGGCTGCAGGTCTGTAAACTCTGCACTGCAGCAGCAAGTTACAGCTACATTTGCTACTCACTCAGGGACCAGTTCCTTCCTTCAAACTGTGCAGAAGGCAGGCTTCTCTCTTTCTGGGTTGCCAGTAATAAACAAGTATGGCCACTTCTTCTCCAGGGAACTCAGGTTATTTCTACTTGTGTCCACAGGAAGAATAAAACATCTGTGGAGTGATGAGTTCTTGAATGCATTATTTGAAAGCACTGGTGACTTTCTGGAAAAAATAAAAATAAATCAGTATTTGTTATAATCAACAGTGTTACATAGGGGCTTCAAAATGTCAGTGATGGCCTAAGCAGTGACTAAAAACAACAGATTGATGTTCTACAGTAGCTACTCTTCAATAAGTTCTATATTTACTGATTTACAAAGCAAAAGAGGATTACTCTCCCTCCTTTTCCCAAGTGTCAGTTATTAAACTCAGTGTTTCAGAAGTTATTAAAGCAGGTAGGTTAGCAGCCTTTAAAAAGTGTTCCTCATTTATTGATACCACTCACAGTTATATGAGCAGAACAAAAATTAAATGGGCTACTGATCCTCCTTTCCAGGCCATCAGCCTCTCACTGTGCATTTCCTACATCTCCTAGGCTAAGCAATTGTAGACTGTGGCAGTGTCCTGGTTTCCGCAGTAGCAGTCATTTTTCTTCTTCTTAGTAGCAGGTGCAGTGCTGTGGTTTTGACTTTCAGTCTGAGAACCGCGCTGATAACACCGATGTTTTTAGTTGCTGCTCAGTAATGTTTAGTCTGACCAAGGACTTTCTGAGTCTCATGCTCTGCCAGGGAGGAGGGGAAGCTGGGAGGAAGCAGAGACAGGACACCTGACCCAAACTGACCAGAGGTATTCCATACCACAGCACATCATGCCCACTATATAAACTGGGGGCAGTTACCCAGAAGGGCTAGATCACTGCTGGGGTTGAGCTGGGTATGGATCAGCAGGTGGTGAGTGGCTGTATTCTCTTCCCTTGTTATTTCCCTTATCATTATTATTATTGGTGGTAGCAGCAGTGGTTTGTGTTATACCTTAGTTACTGGACTGCTCTTATCTCAACCCGTGGGAGTTACATTCTTTCGATTCTCCTCCCCATCCCTCCAGGAAGCGGGGGAGGAAGCAAGGGGTGGAGTGAGCGAATGGCTGCATGGTTCTGAGTTACCAGGTGGGCTTAAACCATGACAGACAGTCAGATGAAAATTGTCCCAGTGATTAAAATCCTTACCTGACCAGCTTGCAGTTTGTTACCACAAACTCCCTCTACAACGTTCCACAAATCACAGACCAGGACCTTACGGTGTTCATTGGATGCTAGCACTTCAGGAGGTTGTGGCTGCGACCATAAACATTATGCCTGGTTCTGGGAGCAGGCTTCACAATCTGCATGGGGATTTTTCTCTCTTTCTCCTTCCCCTGTACATGTGTACATCCCAACCGTTAAGAAATTTACCTCCCTAGACTAGTCTGAGGAAAATGAAGGAACACTGGTTCTTCAGTGTGACTTGGAAGAAGGAAGGCAGTAGGCTTGACAACACCTCCATGAGCAAGGAGTTGAAAATGAGACAGAAAATAATGAGAAAGATATAGAAAGTGAAATCGCTTGTTGTGACGAGAGATAATAGGGGGAAGGGACTGAAGAAAAAATAAGGTCAAGATTAGATGTTTGAGTTAGGAAAGCAGCAAGAGAGGAAAGCCAGGGAGTATGAAAGCCTGAGCTCAGGTGGAAAACTGTCAAAACCAGTGAGTTATCTGTTTTTCACATACAATAAGAAAAATACCCTATGAAAAATATCATTCTGGAGTCCTAATGTATGTACTGCACATGATAGATTAATTGTACCCTAAGCATTGTTCTCTTACGCTTTCGTTTGCCAAAGCTAATTTGGTCATTAAGTCCTTAACAAAGCTGTGCATTTCCATCAGTTTTACCCCCAAACAAGGAAAGTGCTTCCTGTTTTTCAACTAATTCTTTCTCTTCAGAGGAAACCAACACCTTCTGCTAACTCAAATGCCAGATGGTGCATTTGGATGTATTTAGACATGACCCACTTCACAGGAGGGTGTGCTGCCGTATGATACCTGCACCCCATGGGTTTGCATGAGGGACCAAACTTCAGCAAACTGATAAGGCTGAATGCAGGGCAATGCTGAGCCCAGCACTGTGTACTGCAAGTGATTTATCGCATTAGCAGCTCAGCTGGATGCATCAGGAATGTAATTCCTTCAAACTAATAGTACTTGCAAATGAATAAGCTGCAAATGTATCTTTCTGGACTGGCTTAGAGAAGAAAGTAGTACAGAGCCAGAGTGGAAGAAAGAAGCCTGTATTTCTTTTTACTCACATTTCAGCCTGTCAGAGTGATAATTTGCACTCAGTTTTGCTCTCTGGCAGTATAAAAATATCTGCTATGAGTCTCTAAAAGTCAGCTGTTGCTAATCTGCCTAAACTACCTTCACAGTGCCTCACTGCCCTCACAGTAAAGAACTTCCTAATAGCTAATCTAAATCTACCTTCTTTTACTCTAAAACCATTACTCCTTGTCCTACCACAAACAGTCCCTACTAAAAAGCTTGTCACCATCTCTCCCGTAGGTCCCCTTTAGTTACTGGAAAGCTGCTATAAGGTCTTCCTGGAGCCTTCTCTTCTCCAGACTGAACAACCCCAGCTGTCTCAGCCTGTATTGACAGGAGAGGAGCACCAGCCCCCTGAGCAACTCCATGGCCCTCCTCTGGACTCCCTCCAACAGGTCGATGTCTTTCCTGTTCTAAGGACTCCAGAGCTTGACTCAGTACTCCAGGTGGGGTCTTGTGAGAGAAGAATAGAGTAGCAGAATCGCCTCCATTGACCTGAAGTTGTTTTTCCACCTGTAACACTTTAAAGATGTCATTGGGAAACAATTACAGGATTAATATGTCCCATTTACATCCAAATGACTGACTACTAGGACACATATATCAGAAGTGAAATCCTTAACTTACAGTGTCTTCAAAGTTATTAATTACCTGCTTCATTTTGCAACCATCAGATTTAGGATGTCATAAGCTAGAGGGTTGCCAATGACTAATCTTTTCTGAAGGATTCTAAGTTCTAAATTCTGTATCCTTTTTTAATACCTTATGCTCAATGGCAGCCTGCAGCATTGAGTTTAATGGTTTAATCATGCACCCTATGGAAAGAGAACTTGCTTTTGTTTGTTCTTAAACCTGTTACCAAATAATTTCACTGAGTGCTCTGTACCTTTCATACTGTGAGAAATAATGAACAGCCACTCCTTAAGCACATTCTCTGTTCTGCTCATGGTGTTATAAAATTTAACATCTCTCCCCCTCTTCCCTCCCACAGTTTGTTTTCCAGGTTGAAGGGCTCAAGATTGCTTACTCTTCTGCTGTGGTAGTTGCTGCATTTTGCAGATTAATGTTGCCATTCTTCTTAGCATCCTTACCAGCTCGAGTACAGCCCTCTCAAGAAGAATGGCAATGATTTTATTAAGTACGAAATGTATTTGTGAAAACAGAATATTAACTCCTACAATTTCTTTCCTATTCTTCAACATGATATTAATCCCTGAGAGATCTTCTGGATTAGATCACGTTAACGTTACATGCCTTTGGTAAAAGTTCTTTTACAACATTTTTTTTTAAATCCATATGTAGAAACAAATGCAATCATCCACTCCTTGACACCTTCAAAAGACTGTAATAAGCTTGCAAATAAAAAGATATCTGAGCTGATTTTCCCTATATTTCATATTTAAACTTCACCCACTGACTGATTTTATTCTCTCTTTCCAGTTTTTACAAATTTGCTTGGTACAAAACTCAGATTTACTGTCCTCAGAACAAACTCTGTAGCTCTCTTACAGATGCATGCAGCATCTGATTCTATTTTTAATGCATAAAAAGGCCTTTGGTATTCTGGCTGCAACTGTCTCAGCCTTTGTATTCATTCAAATAAATACCTAGATTTAAGAATATAAATTATGAATTGACCAGTAAGATAATATATATTCCATGATTGGAAAAAGTTTTAAATAGACACTTTCCAGGCAATAATTTCCAGTCATCCACTTTCACTTACTTCCCCTTCTCTTAGATCTCAGACCTCGTATTTGATAGAAAAATACTATCTCCAGAGCAATAATTCAACAAAGTCTGCATATGGAGATTTATTTTCCTTCTAGCCTGAGTAATTCCACTCTTGGAGGGAGGGCTGCAGGCCATCCTTTCCACCAGAACCTGAAGGTAAATGCCATTTCTGTTTTATGGAAATTAACAGGAACAAAGTGCAGTGCAGTCTTAAAATGTGAACATACTTGAGGTGCCCCTGTCTTTACAAAGACCTTCCATGTCCTGGCAACAAAAAACATTATACAAAGGAAAAAAAAACTCCAAACATACTAAAAACCTGATTCTAGAAGTAAAGACTTACAGATTGAGGAATTAAAGAGATGCTTCTAGCCTAGTCCTAAGTATGTGCATATTATTTATTGCTACCCCGTAGCCCTAATTCAGAGAAAAACATACACAAGACTCTCTAAGCTTGAGAGATCCGTCATAACTGTCTATACATGATTTTGAAAATCCCTTCACCCACACTGTGCAATGCTTTACCTCCAGACCAAGGTCTTGTATTCCAGACAGTACCTTGAGAAATCTGTCAGAACTGAGATGTTTTCATGCAGAAACCCCCTGATTTTGTACTCAGGTGGATACAGGAAAGCCTGGAGCTCGCAGTGTAACTCATTCAGCACACCAAGCAAAACAAATCAGCTAGCTGTGAATGGCTTTGTGAAGTTGCAGGGAATTCAGCATGGAAAGAAAGTGATGTAGCCCAGCTGGTTTCCTTGTAAAGGGGAAAGACAGCACAGCAGCACCCAGCTGCAGTCTTTGAACAGAGAAGCCTTGTGTTATGGAACTAAATAGGAAACTGAGAAACCAGGAAACAATTTTCCTGCTTGCAGGCCTCCTTGACCATTTAAAAAGCTCTTTTAATCTCTTATCTGTGAGTTCCCTAATGCAGAAAACAGGTTAATAGCATGGCAACCTGAAAAAAGAAGGGCTGTTTTTCTTGGCTAAGCAAACATACATACATACATGTATGTCACTTCCATCAATGCCACACTTTGCAGAAATACACCAAATGTTGTCAGGCAAGAT